GCGGCCAAGGTTCTGCCGTGGCTGTCAAGCACCACAACTGCCCACCCCGCGGCCCCAAGGCCTGTGAGCTCCCCCTCAAATCCCGACCCGTCAGCGACAGCGTGCGCCCCCTCGGGCATGAACAGGGGGGCGCCCCGAGGCCACTGGCAGCGACGCGTGCGCGGATTCAGCGTGTCGCGAGGGGGTGGCTTTACCCAGGCCGCAGGGTTGGGAAACAAACATCTACTGAAGAGCTCTCCAGCTGGAGTCGGGAGATGGCCAACATTCCGAGCAGCCCTGGCAACCAAGGGGTCCAGGTTCTCACGGCGCCACTGTTCGAACGCAATGCAACTGAAACGGCGATGGTGCAAAGTGCCGCGGCCATCTCTGCACAGCTGACCTTCGCAGGTGGCCTCTGAACTGTGTTCAAACACTCTGTGCTGGCACCAATGCGCATTCGCCGCCAGCGCTGAAAGCGCGGCCCTGTGCGATTTCGCCCACACCTCGGACCCCTTTCGCCCCAGAAGCTGGTGAATGGGCTGCCAAAAAACGGGCCCACTCCACATACCAAAATCAAACTGCTTTAGCTGTTCTTCTTTCCGGATGGCCCTAACAACCGAGCCGCGCAAGAGGTGAGGGAAAACTTGGGCGAGAAGCGATCGATCGACCACTCTCTCTGGAGGTCATCAACAAGGGCCATATTCGGAAACTCGAAGGACCATCGGACCCGAGACAGCTGCAGGAAACGCGCAGCAACAGGTTGACGAACCTGGTTCCATGGGGCCTGGCCCTTCTGAACAGCAAGAGCGTCCTGGACACAAGACTCTAAAGCAGCTTTCGAGATGGACTTGGCCCACCAACCTCCAACGAGTTCCTTTGCAGCCGACGCCGCCGTCGCCGGGGGCGGGCCCCTGGGCCAGAGTCGGGAGGAGGAGGGGAACCTGAACCCCAGGGAGGCCCCAGGAAGGAGAGGCCCCCAGGATCTCGCGGCTTGGGCCCGAAGCTTGTGGAGGGTGGTCGGCGGGGTCCCCAAAATCTGGGATCCCCGCGTTGCTTTGGCCAACGGTCCAACTCGATAGACGCGACTGTGTTTCTCACTCTGCCCAAGCTTGCGCAGGGCTACCCCAGTGCTGCGGGCGGCCGCAAGCCTCGACGCCTGCGCGCCGACTCTCCGAGCTCTGCCGTCGAGCGGGTCGCTGCCGAGGTCGCGGTGGGAGGTGGCCAGCTTGTCGTCTGCGAGCGTCCACCTTGGATCTTGTGCCAACTCAGGGAGCTGGCTGCGGTCAGGCATCATAAACTTGGTCCTCTCCCAATTAATATGCAGCTTCCTCGACTCCAACTCTGCTGTGACAATCTCGACGCTGGCAATAGGATTCGCAATGACTGTCTTGAGGCCACCGATGGTGTGCGTCGTCAAATCATCCACCACGTTCAGCGCTCGGCACGGATGAGTCTCTTCTGCCACTCCCTTGAGAAGGCACAGCGCCATCAGCTTCGACACTCCTGTGGCTGCGCTACAGCCTGCAACGATCGCGCCATTTGGATGGCTGGCTCTGCTAGTTCCTCCTGCCCACTTGGCTCTTCTCGGCGCACGGTACAGGCAACGCGCCGCCCTGAGCAAGGCTCCGTCGGAGCTGTAGTGCTCTGCTGCTTCTCGCAGTTGCTGATGGCTAACGTTCTCGTAGAACTTACGGGTGTCATAATAAACCGTGATTGATGACAATCCTTTCCGTCTGGCGTGGCAGGCCAACATGTTATGCAGGTACGCCGCCTTGTCACAGCTGGTGGCCGCATTCCTTCCCCAGAAAAACTGGGCATCAACCGACTCTTCCCACCTCTTGACATACTGCCTCCTGCATCGGCTCCAAATCCGTGCCCAGACACAGAGTGAACCTATGGGCCTTGTCCCCCCATCTGGCTTTGGAAGGAAACCATGGACCGTAACCCACATACGTTCGCACTGTGGTTCGCGTTCCCAACGCGTGAGAATCTCCTGCAGCCTCCTCACATATGCACCACCCAGGAATCGCACGAGCCTCCTATGGAAATTGACCCAGCCAAGCCCTGTGGAGGGTCCGAAGGAGCGGCGCACTTGCGCGATCTGGTCCTCCGTAATGGGGTCGAGCTTCCAGAGGTAGCTCCAGTTCGCTGGCACCTCCTCTTGGGCCCTGTCATCCGAGATCCACAGCTCTTCCCATTCCTCAAGTGCCGCAGTGATTGCCGCCGCTCCCACCAACCCATGAGGCTGACCCTTGGACAGGGTGGGCGCTTCCTCTAGACGCTTGGGCCGAGCAATCGCATGCGCCAGTTTCCCAGAGCCGTCTGCTGCAAACTCGCCAAACTAACGCCAAGCTTTGCTCCTGGCCTGGGAATCCTTGCGCCTGCGTTCTTCTACTTCACCTGCGAGGACAAGTCGAAACCAGGCTGCCAGCTGGCCTCCTCGCTTTGCCAGGGCAACCCACTTCTGGATATCCTTCGCCTTCAGGGAGGGTGAGTCCGAGATGGCCTCAGGGGGCTCCAG